AAATAAATAAGATAATTAATAATATGATAAAAAAATGTTTAGATCATGCACAACTTCCTAAATTTTTTTTTTAATAAAACGTAAGTGCGCATTTGACTTCCATCTCACCTGATGGAAAGTAATGATGAGGTCGACGATAAATAATGCATATTAATTCTCGCCTTAAAAAGGCCCAAGTTATAACGTTCAGGGAACAAGTCTGCTGGCAAGGAATTCCACTCCATGGCCGTTCGCCATATAAACGTGGAAGCGTAACGCTTCGTGCGAATCTTTGGAATATCCACAACATAGGGGTGGAACCCAAGCCTACGGCTAGTCCCCTGGTGATGGAAAGGGCAAGGCGGAATTAAATATAAAATACCAATAAGTAGGTAACTTTACGGCGGTAATCCTTAAACCTTTTGGCACGGTTGTCAATTAAATCCAAGGTGGCCAGCTTAGAGATGGGTTTTTGCCCGATAAATGATAAATTATCCAATAAATATCCGATTTCACTGAGTATTTATCCTAAAACATGGACTTTTTTGAGTTTTTTATAATAAAATTCATTAGAATTCATTTTTTATTAAATTATTACGTACGATTACTTCCCATTTTGCCATTGTTTTGTGTAACAATACTGTTTTAGTACCTCCGTTTTTCGAGTCGATATTTTTTTCAGTAATGGTTGAAATGTAAGTTAATTGCAACAAACTCACCTAAACTTTTACCAACATTAAAGTTGGCTGGTACCCTTGAGCTGACCTATCCTGCGTTAAAAAAGTATGACCCTCTTTATGGTCTTGAGGTCTACTGCGTACTAAAGTCATGTTTGGACTTGAACTAGCCCAAGGATTCACACACAAAATCTATTAATTATAACACATTATACACAAAGTGTTTTGATGAGAAGTGCGAACACAATTCTCCTTAGCGGCTCTCTCCATTTCTTTCGCACTCATGTAAATTATTCCGTAGCGAATTTAGGCTTAGGTTAGGTATTAGAATTAATTATCGTTTTTTTTATTTTAACGAATTAAGTATTTCCAATGAAGTCTCTACAGTTTTTTAAAATAAAATATTGAACAACCAAAAACCCTTATATTATATATACGAACCTGAACTACTGTACAATAACAGACCAACTTAGTAACTTGAAAAAGAAAATCCATACAACATATTAGACAGCTTATTAATATTATCGCGAGTAATCGGGCCCCGATTTTACGAACACCCACCCACAATTAGTCTAAAGTGTTACAAATGACGAAGTGTTTTGTTCCCGACTGAAAGTCCTTTTATTGGATAATGAATTCTACAGTGTAGAGGAATTTCTTTTAAAGAAATTGTAATTATATTTTAATTTCGGACGTTTGTATTTTTAAATATTAAAATTTTTATTTGTATTTTTGTAGTTCGTATTTTTCTTTATTTCGCTTTTACTTATTTTATTTATATTAACAATAAAATTATTATTTACATTAATGACGATCACGTTATCCCTTCATATTATATTTCGAAATGATTCTAGTCTATTCTACTGGGTGGAGACATTCTCTTTTTAACAAACTACGCACTTAAGTAATAATAAGGTTCACGTAAAAATACAGGGATTTACGCTACTTAAAAAGATTATTTTTATTATTGCATACAGGAAAAAAGATATAATAAGTAAGTAATATACTATATGTATACGTACATGCTACTAAATTGTATCAATGTTTACAATTAAGCTTAAAAATATACTTTGTTTTACTGAATATAAATAACAAACCACGATTTAAAATATTCATCCACGTTTTTGGATAAATATCGAGTAAAAATGGATATTTATCCTGAGTATTTATCCCAGTTGGTATGTAGCAGAGCCATCCCAAAAGTGGACTGTAACTGTAACTGTATGTCAATAGAGTAATATCACACTACGTTATCAGTAAAACACGATGGTTGTAGTTGTCGGCCGACCTTGGTACAAAAACCAAAATAACAGACTTAAATGATTAATTTAAACATAAGTTTAATTTATAAATAACATTACCACAAAAAGTAAAGTAAACCTGTTGATTATTTATAGTACAAGCAATCACAAAAAGTGATTTTAGTGACATGCTGGAATGTTCCATGAAATAGTTTAGTTTTTCTGTTTATAAAAAAAATTCAATGTCGCACGTTGTCAGTTCATGTCCATTATGAATCGATAAAATAGCATATTTTAACATAATTTCACATTTTTTTATTAGATAATTTATTACATGACGGTCTAATAGCATTATGTCAAAATGTTTATTTAGCCCATAGCTAAAGTGTCTTCATTTTTTAGTTACCGAATTTAAAGGGGGAGGACTTCTTCTTAATCTTGCATATAAAAACAAGATATTTCGATGGGAAAAAATTATTCACATTATAAACACACACAGTGTCTTGTAACTAATAATAATTTTTTTTCCGTTGTTAAAAAAATGTTTCACTTATTGTTTTCTTGGAAATTATTAGCTAACAATTCTGTATCCGAGGCTTACATCAAATATACTACGCAACATTCTCATTTCTACAGCATTCACTACATTTTCATGCTTCGTCTGCCATACTCTACATTCACTACCATACATCATGTACTGGTTGGGTAGCGCGTGACGTAACTTAAATATAGCATATTATAGTATATATTTAAGTTAGTGATTTAGTATAGTCTACTTTCTTTCACATTATAAAAATGTCAAGGACAAGATATAGGTACAAGGGTAAATGGGCGTTAACTAGCGTTAAAACACTTTCACTACAAGATATTCTTTGGTTGCACTTCCCTCTTTCCAACTCTTGACCGCTCACGCGATACATGCAGCCGTAGACGCATACCACACCTAGAGGTGCCGGTGATGATTTTACACCGATTTATCGGATATCGAAGTTATAACAGGTAAAAGAACTAATATTAAGGTAACTACTCTAGCAAACCATAAAGTTTTTAATGCCTGGGTCTGTCATTTAAAAAAAATAAACAACTTCAAAAATACGTCACGACAATCGTGTGTGTTACTGTTTGGGCTGGTGATTTCGATGTTTATTTATTGAAAACATACCGCAAGTAGCGTTTTTTAAGTTTACCCTGAATATAAATGTTTGTAAACTATACTTTAAGGAGTAATTTCATGGTAAACGTTAGAACCATTTAAACGGTATATTATCATATTTACCCAAGCACACCAAAAATTTCATTAGTGCTTTTTAAGTGCAGGATTTGCGGTGTATTACTGCATTTTATTTGAGATGTTTTTGTTGTAGTACGGAGGGTATTTATTTAGCAATGCAGAATAATAATTTTTATTTATAAAAACTTGTATTTAAACTGAATCCTTTTCTAATTTGCGAAACCAAATAGCCGCCATTTTGCGATAGGATGAGCGCATCGCGTGAGCGGATAAATTTCTATCCTAAGGTTTCCTGGAAGTGTTCCTCTGTGTTGTCATTGTAAATTTAATGTACAATAAAGAATATTTCATTTATTCATTCATTGATCAATTCATTCGTTCGTTCATTCATTCATTCATTAAAGTAGTAGTGTTAGTGTTTTCAAGAGAGTTAAAGTCGTAAGGAAAGAGTCGCAGATGAGAAATTTGGAAAGCAAACGTCCGCTCAGTTTGCCATTATGAATGCGGCTTTATTGGGTCATCTCTAATCAATCAAGTAAGGCTGTGTTTCTTAGTACTAGGTCGCTAACTTAAATAAGGTACTAGAGCGTTTGTGCACTGCATCCGATTCGTATTTGTTCCATATCCGAGACTATACAAATCTAGAAAACTCGGACCCACTTCGTATGTTCGTTTGTGCACTAAGTCTGATTCAAATCCGAGAAAATACAAATATCGCTTCAACACCTAGAGGACCGGACCATCATTTTTCGAATTCGGAACTGATACGAAATGGACGTAGTGCCCTCTAATACAGTGTTAAATTTCGCCCTAATAGCTACCTCCATCTACAAGTTTTATGTAAGAAAAAATATCTGATATAATTATTAATATAAAGATCGAACACAATGAATTAACTGCCTCCGTGGACAAACGGTTACCACACTGGTCTGCCACGCAGATGTTTCGGGTTTGATTCCCAAGCCGAAACAATTATTCGTGAGTTTGGGTGTAATTTGTAGTTGTCAATGTGTGAGTCTATGGCACACGCGATACAGGGTTTTCCTAGTGCGGGGCTATGAGTGTCTGCGTGTGCAATAAAAAATTCCTCCGATCTTACAAGACTATAAATTTCGTCTGTAATAAAAAAGAAGCATTTATTTACTAGATAAAATAAATACAGTATCCGATGTTGGGGCTACTTGTAAGTAAAACATTACTCGTGTTAGAAATCCCGAATGCCATTCGTATGCCAATGAAACTACAAAAATTTGGTGGCAATGTCCATTATCTGTAATATTTGGTCAAAGAATAAGCATTGATAACCACAATAAGTCTACCACTAACTTTAGGTAATGATAATCTAGCTATTGCCGGATATACAAGTGGATAGTTTCACCGTGTAAACCATTAGATAATTTTGTATTATAGCAAATTGTACAGTCATTCCCGTTTCAAAACTTTATGCTTCATTATGACTGTAAAATATGATAGAGGCTTAGTTATTGTATAGTGTTATTCGATAATATGATAATGGATAGCGTGTTTATCAATATTAGTTGAATTCGATATTTATTGATAATGATAACTTGACAGAGTAATGACTATGAACAGATTTAACTCCAACTTCAGTGTATTTGTGGAAACTTATCCGTTTAAATACTTTTAATTGTAATGATTTCAATGAAGTAATGTAGGCACATCACAGTCAGTTTAATTAGAGAGTAAAGGCCACAACTCACGTTGAGGAAATTGGAAAAATTTATATATTAAGTAATTAATTTTAAAAACAGAACCGATAAAGATCGTTAACGTGTACCGCCGATAGCGAGCAGTCGGTCAGCAGCTAGCTTGTCGGTCGAACGCGTATTGTGAACGCAGGAAGTGCGCGCGCGCACCGACGCGATATCGTAATCAATAGAGCGTTGAAAATTCACCAATTGTTCGGTTTAATTGGTTGTGAAACTGAAATATGTGCTGAGTGATTCTTGGATACATAAATAAGTTTTTAAAAGTTTTTTAAATATTTTACAAAATGTCCAATGTGCCGTTAGTTCGTCGTGCTATTGCTGGTGCAGCTGCCGCAAACATTACAGCAGCGCCCGAGAATGCACCCTTGGTAGACAACCTCAACCCTTTGGTAGTTAACCCTACTCAAGAAAACCAATGGACACCTGCTGCCTTGGAAAGAGCTGGGTCAACATTGAAAGCTCTAAACAGGATGGCCAAAAGACCTCCAGTCCACATTCTCTTTGAGGAAATCAGCTACACGGTCAGTTCGCACAAAGGTAAGTTAAAGGATCAGATAGCACTAACACCTAATTAATCTTTATGTCCAATTATTTATAATAAATAATATTCTTTACTACTATTATTTTCTAGTAAAATACACACATCAAGTGTCATGGGATCAAGCACGTTTTTGCCAATTACTTTAATTACGTAAATCAGTTTTTTTTATAATTTTTTTAACACAGTTGGATTTTTTTTGTCATGTGTGATAATTTCTGAGAATGAAATTAAGTAAAAAATCCATTGGTGTAAAAAAAATCAATAAAACACCTGATTTTCAATAGCAAAAACGTGCTTGATCCCTAAACACTTTTGATGTGTGTAGTGTATATTATATTTTTTATTTAATGAACAAAGTTTTTACAGCGTTTTTATACAAATGTCCTTTAGGCAGTATAAAAACCAATAACGTAAACTCACTTCTTATAATATGTGACATTATGGTTACAACATTGGGTTGAAAAATAAATTAAAACTAGTAGGTACTATAAATACCAACATTCATAGCTAACTGTAAATAACAAATACAAATTGTCTGTGTTTGTGTGCGTGTGCGATGGAGCGCGAGTGCCTAGAAGACAGTCTCTTTCCTCAAACAATGTGCTAGCCAGGTAAAACAAACAAATATGGCGCACGATATCGACGCAAATAAAACTGTATTTAGAAATATATAATACAATATTAATACATACATATTACGTGGGACAAAAAAAGGTGCAAGTATAAAATAGTGACGTTTATACATTAGAAACAAATAATAATTATACATAAAATAGCGATTAAATTTAACATCTTTTTTTCAATTGTTATTGAAAAGAAATTAAACTAAATTAATTATTTTTTTTACGTTTTATGACAAAGCAGAAACAACTGAAATTTTAAAAATTGTAACAATTTAACATTGAATTAATCAAACTGTAATACATAAAAAGCATTTTATCAAATAAAGTTTACGAAATTTACGAGATCAAAAAACCTGTATTAGTAGGAAATTGAAATAAATGTATGTACAAACACTTTTTAACCGACCCAAAAAGGAGAAGTGGAGACTTTTTGTCTAGGTACATTACACGCTTACTTCAATATTTGTTAATCGATTTTGATGATTATTTTTACCGGTTTCTATAAACCGTAGCAAATAGATGTAATTTCACAAACTTTTGAGGTCAGTTTTATTTGTTAATAAAAGGTTATTTATATACCCAATTATTAACTAAATAACCATTATCGAGTACTGAATAAACCGGATCAATTCCCCAATTTGCCACCCTTAGAGGTGGAATATTTTCTGGAAATGTAAATGGAACTATTAGTGCGATACCTTCTTTCCAACAATAAAAGAATCATCGAAATCGGTTAACAGATGAATGAGTAACAAACGTACTCAAAAAACAGAAACAAAATTTCTTATTAAAAAATCGGACACTGTATTTATTGTACGTTTTATTAGACAAAGGTCAAGATTATTTCTAATCGTGACATTGATAAAAATTATTGTTAACAGAAATTTATTTACAAAGATCGGCCAGTAATGTCTCTTAATCATGAATACATCATCCTTTTTTTGAAGTCGGTTAAAAATAGTACCTACGCGGTTAGCGTATTTGAATAACATCAAAATAAATATACAAACGTCTAAAATTAGACTATGAAATTAGGGATTTGTCATTGAAAAATGAGACACTGTATTTATTGTACGTTTTATTAGACAAAGGTCAAGATTATTTCTAATCATGACATTGATAAAAATTATTGTAAACAGAAATTTGTTTACCACGATGTACCATTAAAGTTTTAATTAATCATGTCTCAAAGGAATTTGCCTTACGAATAGATCGTAGAGTTTATCAATGTGACTATTCGTAATATATTTCATTTACGTATACAAAAACATACCAGGGGCCTACTATGAGCTTATAAGTAACCAGCCAAGTTCCGTAGAATTCACTTGACGTGGTAAAACTGAATTGCTTATATTCATATCATGACTTACACAAAGTTGAACGGGAATGGCATGACAGGATGATGAGTTTTACTTTTTAAATATTAATTATTGTCTCTGGCTGGCTAGTTGACATCTAACAAGAGCGCGATGGAACTACATACTAAATCATATTCATTAACAGAAATAGATAGATGTACTTACCCTAGGAGCGTTCAAGCACTATTAACCGATTGTGTTTAAAATGAGAATAATTATATTTTTTTAGTAATTTTATTATTGATTATACTTATTACGTTATATTGTAATATCGGCAACTTTACAATTCGTCGTAAGACAAAATTACATGTCTTGTCCTAGACATTATCCTTGAAATGATTAAGGTGACTTTGTAATTTGGTAACATAATTGGAATGTATCTTATATTCGAATATTTTCTTCAAATTTGGCGTTAATTAAAAGTTAGTTTACGATTTTCGCTAACTCAATAAAACCGTTAAATTTTAATTTAAAAAAAATTGCAATTACGTTCATGCTAATAATTTATCAACTATACTCTGTAGATGGGAAACTCGAACTAAACTATCCAAAAAAGTTCAATAGTTAATAGAATTTGTTTATTAACAATTGGCTATTGTAGCCTAAAAAGATAACAAATATTATAATATTTTTCTGAGTGTTCGATCTTTGTATCAATAATCCTAACAAACTAGTGGAGTCATTTCATAAAAAATAATTGAATATCAGTTCAATAAAAATTTAATTAATACAGTGAATTGCGACATCTCTCGCCAGGACTGGTAGCTGTAAAGGTACTAACTGGGTGTTACATCTTTCATAATAATAATAATAATACCGCCTCTCCCATTCAAAAATTCAAAATTAATCTTTTAGGCCTTGGGAGAGGCGAGAGTTTAAAATAAATACGATAATTATAATAATTGTTTTGTCCGCAAATGGGTTAATTCCAGTCAGCCTTTCTAACAGTTTGAGGCGGTTGGATTTCTGTGGCGTGTCGCTTCCAGCACAAATGCAGAAGGCGGTCCTGCTCGATACGGCGCGTATTGTTCGCCGATTCTTGGACCTGAGTCCCTGACGCCGACTGTGCCATTGCCGGGAAATACCACCTCTCCCATTTAAAAATTCAAAATTAATCTTTTAGGCCTTGGGAGAGGCGAGAGTTTAAAATAAATATAATAATAATAATTTATTTAATTTGAGCCTTGTACAAGTAATGGTGTATTATAACTAAATAAGAGCTATTTTACCATGTTTGGCTTGTTAGTAATTGACTCAAGGTTATCTGTCCCCTGACTTTCAAGCTAGGCTAACCTGTGTTATGAAAGACAGTGGTTCGGTTATTTAACAAGTTTACAAGCATATTATGGTGCAGTATAGAGAATATTACAGAAAGAAAAAGAAAAGAAACAAAAGACTTAAGGTTAATGATTAAAGTTATACATAATGGATGCAATAAGGTGAAAGTGAGAGAGTAAAAATGCGTATGTACATGCGTTGGGAGTGTGTGTATGTGAGAGTGCGCGCGTGCGCGCATTTGTGTGTGTGTGTGTGTGTGTGTGTGTGTGTGTGTGTGTGTGTGT